CAGAACCTTTTATTAAGTATTGTAACGCATTTATAGATTCAGATTTTACCTACGAACTTGGGTAAAGATAAGAAAATGTTTACTTCCGTAAAAAGCCAATATGCATTTGTCAAAACATGTTACGTGTTAATAGAAATACGAAAATAAGGAATCACTAGAAGTACGATATATGGAATCAATAAAAGTACGAAAATAAGGAATCAATAGAAATACGAAAATAAGGAATCAATAGAAGTGCGAAAAAAAAGGAATCACTAGAAGTACGAAAAAAAGGAATCAATAGAAGTACGAAAATAAGGAATCAATAGAAGTACGAAAATAAGAAATCAACTATCTAAAGGATAAATAGGTTAAACGGTTAATACTGACAGCAATTAAACATTTTTACTGCATCATGTGGCCAAGCCGTCCTCTTAAGAGAGATCAGTGGTAACAGTGGTAGTTAATATTTCAATAAAATAATCCTAAAATTTCCGTTGAATCGTTCTTTCACTTTACTATAGTGTATATGGGTAAATGCATTCGTAAAATATATTCTAAATACATTCGTCAGAAGCGTTCCTTATGCATGTTTAGTTTATTCTCGTGTGCATTCGTCAAACACGTTTCACGTTTATGTGTTACAGAATTCCTCCGTAATGCAATCCTTAGAAGGAAACTATACCGTCGTCTAGGTCATTTGGTATATGCACTCGTCAAACACATTCCATACTCATTACGTGTAGTAAAAGTATACAGTCCTCAAAAATCATAACCCAGCATTCGTCATTTTCGTCAAAATGATATATGGCCTTTTGTTAAAAGGATCAACTTTGTACATATATATTTTTATATACAGTCATCATTTGTCCAGAAAAACTTGGTATGATAAAGGGGTTATGCACTCTTTAAAGAGAATTTTGTAAAGAAATCGAGACACTGACATATTTTTGCGGTAAACAATGTGGCAAATGAAATCCGTGGTATTATATTGAGATTTTAGTGTATATAAATGAGCGGCGTTATATCGTGATTTTACAGTATAGTAATAAAAGTGAAAAAAATCGAGATTTTACTATAAAGCTATAAATTAGGGCAATATATCGAGGTGTTTTTGTATATAAACGAGGGACATTATGTCGAAGTTTTACAGAATAGTAATAAAAGTGAAAAAAATCGAGATTTTACTCTAAAGCTATAAATTAGGGCAATATATCGAGGTGTTTTTGTATATAAACGAGGGACATTATATCGAAGTTTTACAGTATAGTAATAAACCTGATTAATGTAGAGATTTTACTATAAAGCTAAACATAAGGGGCAGTATTGTTACGGGTTCGAGTCATGGCACGGCACTGTGTTGTATCGTTGAGCAAGATACTTTACTCCACTTGTTCCAGTCTACTCAGCTGTAAATGAGTACGTGGTTGGGCAGTGCTAGAATTGTAGAATGCTTGCTCTGAGCGTCGAAATGGCAGCATCGGCTGTATGCTCCCCACGGAGTTGAGAAAGACATTGGCTAGCTAGCTGCAAAGGCCTATAACCACGGATAATAATTTGTGAACCGCTTTGAGACGACCTACGAACTAGGATGTGATAAAGCGGTATATAATAACCTCAAATTAGTATCGTTATTATAATTACCACCTTGTATCCTGAAAGATGGACGTAAAACAAACACAGGTGATGGTACTATGGGTTGATGGCACTTTTGTCAAACCCTCGGGATGAACCCGTAGTACTTTTATCAGCTGCAAGCCCCATGAGCCATGTAATTCGCTAAGGTAAATACTAGTAGCTCAAGCCTCGTGGGTGATAAAGTGCTATCCCCCTCATAGCCTGCTGTTAAGTTAATCAATCCAGATACTGTCATTGCGTTAATTTCTGTGGTGTAATACTTTTGATTTTGTAATATAAAACTTATAAACTTCTCCGCTAAAATAAACCTAGTTGTATAATTTCAGTTTATGCTTCTGAAAAACCTGTACATGGAATAACACTTTCGCTATATTGGTGCATAAATGGATTTGGAATCAGTATAATACTATAGTATTAAATCAAGACAGCGTACACTATAGTGGAAATATAAAGCTTCATGTCCGAGGTATTTGCAAAACCAAGCTCATTTGTGTAAATACACATCATTAAACCTTGTACAGGTGTGCTATTATATTTTGTCATGTAAAATGTTGGCGTTATAAAGAAAAATTAGAAACGTATATCACGGAAGGGTTTGTTACGAAAAGTATAACGGGACTTTGGAAATAGGTTGACGGTAACGAGATGGTAAGTGGTTTATGTAGCATTATATATATATGTTTTGTTGCTTTAAAAAAATGAAGATCTACTGTGAATAAAGGATTGAACTAACATCGAGGTTTTAACTGTTTATTAATGAGTTACTTTAGATCGAGGTTTTAACTGTTTATTAATGAGTTACTTTAGATCGAGGTTTTACTGTACATGATTGAGTGACATCATATCGAGGTTTTAATTCATATATAATGAGCGACACTATATCGAGGTTTTACTGTATATTTACTGTTTATAGATAAGCGACATTATATCAACAATTTACCGACTATCATTGAGCGACAATATATCAAGGTTTTACTGAAACTAAATGAGCGACACTATATCGATGTTTTACTGTATATAAACGACCGACATTATATCGATGTTTTACTGTATAGAAACGACCGATATTATATCGAGGTTTTACTGTATATAAACGACCGACATTATATCGAGGTTTTACTGTATATAAACGACCGACATTATATCGCGGTTTTACTGTACAAACGACCGACATTATATCGAGGTTTTACTGTATAAACGACCGGCATTATATCGAGGTTTTACTGTATATAAACGACCGACATTATATCGAGGTTTTACTGTATATAAACGACCGACATTATACTTTTTCAACAATTTCATCTGGTTTACTCTGTTTAGTACTGTGCATATATAGTTATGTAATACATACAGAATATTTGTAAATGTATTGAACGGTGATGCTATGTACATCCTTAAAGATACTTCTAGAACTTCCGTCGTTCTATTATATATTGAAAAAGCTGCTATAGAATATCACCGATCTGTTACACATAGACATATATAGAACTCAAGAGCGTCCGAAATTTCATAATAAATATTGAATTTTTTCTCTTATTATCGCGTAAAAGTCTTTGATATATTTCAAAAGAACTGTAAATCGATACCGTTCTCCCGCTAGGTATCCGTACTGGTTTTATTCCTTTTCGCTTTTTCTTTTTTCTTTCTATCTCTCCCTTTTTCAATCGATCAGATTTTTTTCTGTCCATGATTCGTTATTGTTTTTACCAAAATATGTTTCTGAGAAACAAAAACCGTTTCTGATATTTTGAAACAAAAACTGATTTTGAAAATCAAATAATTATTCTGGCGAACTTTTCATATTGATATCACCGAAAATCATTAAATTTGACAAAATCATTATAACATAAATTGGTTAGATGGATTATATTGTTTTCCGTAGAATTCCGCTATTGCGGTGTACAAAAACATGAAGTCGATGCTGCAATGGCCAATATACCTCATCTGTGCGTTTTTTTATCCTAAACGTATTGTGGTCCCTCCCATTACCAGAAAAACACACCAGTCCAAATTTTCCCGGTCAACCTACTAACCCTTTTACCCCTATGTAACGTTGGTAGACTCTACCTTGTATTGATATGAATGAGCCTATTATGGTCTACAGTGGTGAAAGGGTTAAGCTCATCACTTTGTTTTAAACCAGGTCCTTACAAGAAGAGTTCGTAATAACGTGACCTCCGGACTAAAAGTTTCCGATTTCCAAAGTTCCACTGACCATATTTTCATGATATACCCTTTAATTTGACATAGTGTAATCGGCGATCTTTATTTTCCTCGGTACAAAAAGGTATACCGTGCCGACATATCGTAATTTGCCAGTATGTGAGTCGAAAATCAGAGCTTAAGTCAGATAATTGATGCTAAAATCTGGCAAAACACCAAACAGCCCACATGAGAAGTCGTTACATATATATATTTCGCTACATTTAAAAGAAAATAACATTTTTTTTCAGAATATACTACAATAAAACAACAAAACTTGCTCAGAAGGAACTTCGAGTGAAGCGCATCATTATGTAAATTTGTTCGTGTAGTGAAAACGTTTAAATACGAATGGCGTGTTAGGTTATTTTAACTTTGATATGCACAGCCTAAAACCAAGAAAGCTACATGCACATCTCATTTACATAGTTGGAAACGTCGTTTTATCATGTATGTATTTCAAATTCCTCGCACAAAACATACATTTTTCCTTGCCAATGTATGGCGATTGTCGGTGCTCGAGAACATAGCCTTGAATATAATTACCAAGCTATATTTAGATTAGCTCCGGAAAATCGCTTGCGGTTTAATTTTGTTGACGAAAGCGACGTCAGTGACACACACACATCTCCTACAGTACTCGAGTATCACAGCCATAAATACATTAGATGTTCGATCATACAAACAATTTGTTCTCTGAATAAATCATTTTTTTCAAGAATTCGTTTCTAAAAACGGAGCTTTTAATTTATAATATTCAAAGAAATTATTTCCAGATATGGGTTAATTATCATTTCGAAATATTAGATTAGAAACAAAACAAACATAAATATATTTCCCCACATAAATTTAATTTAAAGTGTTGGATCATAGACATAGCTTTTGGTTGTGTAACCCTTTAACACCGAACCAGTAAGCTTTTTGGTCAAATTAAAAGTTTCACTTTTTTATCCCGACACCTTAAGTCAATGTAAAAGTATTAAAATGAAAAATAATGATTTGTCTATTTGGCTTCCCAATATTTTCCCAACAAGGTAACTGGAAACAGATTGTTCTTTGGCGGCGGTAATCTTGCCTACCTTGATACTGACGTAACACATTAACGTATATATATATAGTGTTGCCCCCGGGATTATAGGTAGATTAGCGGAAATGCTTGTTTCCCCTCTGAGTTGTCTTACCTGATGCTAGGTAGATGATCTGTAGTAGTAGTAACACAATAGCGCGCGCCATGGCGAAGTTCTGTCTTGTTGGCGGGAGTCTGGCGCTGTCTGTCGGTCCCGGATTGTCCTGGTGGTGTATTCGTGATCCAACTAAGTTTTTTTTTATATCTATGTATAAAACCTACGCATATATAATATAATATATAACCCCAGTCCGTGATCACTTTAAAAGTTCCATGTACGTCTTGGAGTCGACTTCTCGGCGAACATAATCAGTCTGATATAGTCTCGAGTTTAGTGGAAGCGGAGTAATAAGCGACTTCTATTTAAAGTATAAAGTTCATACAACTGTCGCCCCCTCACTTCGATATACACTCGGACCAGCACGCGCCGCCGTAATTACACAGAGAACAATCACACTGCACGCCGCCACGTAAACACCAAACTTGGTCAAAAACTTATCCAGAATCCAATATCGACTTTTGATTGACATGTCCACCATCAGTACGTTTGTTTCTGATTGGTCAACTACTCGCGCGCAGCGATTGGCAGACGCCAAATTTGCATATTTGTAAAACACGTGTTCGCGATGTGTTTACGAGGTATGATTACAGGATAGACTTTGATTATTGATCTGAGCGGCGACATCCCTTCAACACTATAAGCTACGAAGTAAAGGTTATACAATATGGTTATTCTATGTTGGCAGCTGTCACCGTATTCGGCACGGACGCTATCAGGAAGCACGTGAAACAAGCACGAGAATACATCACATGACGTAATTTGGGTCTCTTCAAATCTCAACTCGGAGATACAAACGTAATGGAATTATTTACAACCACCCGTCCGTCTGAAGATCTACATAAACAAGATTTGCCAATTATTCCCGGTCGTCAGGTGTTGGGGTTGGGGTGGGGGTGCGGATATTTGGAGCTGTTTAGCGCACCACAGCGTTACTTGTTTAAAATCCTCTTATCTGGCCTCTAACCACAATTAATTTTCCTACATTTTCTTACCAAAGAAAAACCATTTTTATAATGTTATATAGTTTTGCTCGAGACCTGATCTTTATAGGTTTTCTTCAGCTACCAAAGACACATCTGTGGTGAGCTGGGAAAGTATTCATGGCCAGATTATATTTAAGGTAATTTCAATTATGTCAACATAACCCCGTTGTACTATGATTTGACCCTGGAATGCATGCTCAGGGCCCCAACCACATACCATATCCTTCCGCCAAAATAAATTTCACACAAATTAATCAACCACATTAATTAAAGATGGAAAGATCACGCTTTATTTTGAAGTGACTCATAGTTTCATTTCATTCACAAGGAAGAACTAATAAGTCATCTAAAAACGAGCCTAAAATTGAGAAATGCGTAGTTATACATTAAAAATGAAACAGTTTAAAAGGCTTCTGGTTTGTCTGTACACGAATGTAATATTCGTGTACAGACGAACCAGAAGCATTAACTGTGGTCTGAGGCCATCTCCCATCCTATCACCACAGTGCACGTGATGACGTCAGTGTAAGCGGAAGTTGGGGTGGGAGGAGGGTGGGGTAATATTCAGATGTTGGCGTCTCTCCCAGCTGTTTATCCCGCTACGCACCATTTCCCTCTGTAAACCGCTCACCGAGTATCCGTTTTATCACTCGATCCCGAGTTCATTTATAACGCTTTTTATCATGTAACAAATATGCCGGCTTCTTTTGCAGAAAAGTCTTACAGTTAAAAATACTTGTCGAAAAAAACCGTTTTTGTTTTGAAAAACCTATGAATAAATTATATAATCTTTCTGAATGATTACTAAGAGACTCTATGTGTAATCGCCATCTCAAAGTTTATGAGGGGAGTGTCGAAATTCTGTTATTGACAGGCAAACCATGTCTACACTGTAGCTATTACTTTAGAAATTTCGGCAATATATACAACTTTTCATTCAGCTCAAGAACACACAACGAACATAATATACATGGCCATTGGTTCACAAGTATTCAGGATGGTCGGATGGCGCAGTGGTTAACTCACTCACCTTTCACAAAAGACGACGGGGGATCTATTCGCCAATCGGACGTTAAAAGTAGGAGGTCACCAGCCCGACCAGGTTCCCCTGTGTCCTCCCACATTGAGACCCTTGAAGTGCTACAAGTACCATCCGGGCCAACTAGAGTGACTAATACTATTCGATAAAAAACACTTGTTTTATAATTGTTGTACGATGAACGTAACATATACACAGTTGATTGCATTTTTTAAATTTGGTCAAAGATACAGTATGGCAAAAACCTATCAAACTGCATCATACTGTTGTTAAGTCCTCTAGTTCTCATCGGCTAAAAGATAAAGTTCAATTATACATAATATGGTAAAAGTACGTTTTTTTCAAAATTCTTAAAATGGCGTATGCCGTAACAGAAATGTATTGGAAACCACAATGCATTCTGGGAGCTGTTGGACTGTGGGAGGTGGAGGTGGAGGAATGATAGAAGATTAGGGTGGGAGAAGGGCAATTGCAATGATCGGAGATAGGATGGTTGAAGGCTGGGTAATGCTTTCTATAAAGCGTCTTTTTTTTACATATTCATACAAATAGCACGTTATCAGTGCTATTAAAGGACAGCGCAATGTATATGTTTTCTAAAATTGGTTGATTGTGAATGTTTGAGTTGATTATGTTCATAAAGGTGTCATATGTTTGGCACAACAGCATATCGCTATTAGGTGAACGAGGTGTGTAGGGTATCGGCCGAATCAGGGGAGATAACCAAACCCCCTGACAACAAAGCACCCGCGCGTCGTGTTGACGTGGCGACCCAGTGATTTGTATCTGACTAATGGAGGTGCTGACACCTCGCGGCAGGCCCATTAAAGCTTGGGACGCTCTCAACTACGTACTATACCTGGTCTATCATTACGCGCGCGCGAGAAATGGTATAAATTGGTACCTGTCATCTGATAGACATTGTCTCCACCTAGTGGTGAGGTATGTCAAAACTACAGAAATGGTTTGACGAGCAATATACGCGATATATACTTTACTACAAACTACGCATGCGCTGTACTGATAGACACGTTTCAGACTTGGGGAAACAAAATGGTCTTGTTCTTGTTTCAGGCGATAGGTACTGTCTCTTAGAAATCGATCAGCCGTGAAAATTTGATTAAAGTTGACCTATTATTCTACGATGATTGTGTAGTGTCTGCTGTTGCCCATTTTCGTTTCTTTTTTTATTTTGTTCTTTTTCGTAAGAACCATCTAGTCGGTTGTTAAATTACTGACTTGGCTCAAAAGTGGAATTCGTCGTCTTCGTAACGGTACATGTAGTATGGATGTACGATATAATTGGTACAATGTAATCCGGGGCCTGTTTTGGAATCAAGTTTCCAGGGCACGTAAGCCTATATGCACGTGAGTCGAGAGCAATTCTTGTTTCGTTTTCAAACAATTTAGATATGAAAAAAACCCGAAAATGGTATTCTGCGCAATGGCATAATATTCTTTTCTAAGTTCACACCTTAGACCACCATGTGTGGGTTGGGGAGCAAACTTAGCTTTTGAAAAAAAAAATACCTTAGGAATTACACAGTTTTTATGCATATAATTTTGTAGATATGGTCAGTGTTTTCGTGTAAATTGTCAATACACATTAGGATTGAACGGCATTTGTTTAATGTTCATGGCTGTATGAACGCAAGTCGGTTGCGTAAACGTGTCTGTAGCCGATTTGCATTCATACTGGCATGAACATTGAAAAGTTATGTTCAATACTTATACATCTATTTACATGTACATTTTGAATTTTAGAATATAATTTATCTAAATATAGGTATTTCGTTATATTTTTGATATTGAAATGTCTGTGTCGTCAGTACAAACGAGATTCATGGAACAGCCTAACGTCACCAAAATGTTTGCATTTATCTGTTGTCTCGTGTTATTCGAGACGGGCAAAAAACCTTCAAAACAACGCTAATCAAATTACGTTCATTGCCATATATGAAGGCAATTTCTTCTGGTAAAACTTCGTTAAAATATCAATATGCCGACAATTTGACCAAAACTAAGAGTGGCAGAACATAGCCTATGCGTTATTAGAATGCTATTACATGAAGTATCTGACACATACGTATTTTAATGTAAGTATTGTGATGTCTTTATGTTTTTGTTATGTACCTTTTTCAGGCACTCTTTATAGATCAATAAAGATTCATTTTTCTTCTGATAATATTTCTGTATCAAAACATGTGTTCGGGAGTACACGTGTGATGACAGACAATGTGCATGTCTTCAATCATACACGTGTACTGAACCACACAAACAGAACTCTCACAAGTATATTTGTGTAGCAGCAAAGCAGAATTTCGAATCGGTCCTTTTCGACGTACTCGCTTGTTCTTCGACGTCGAGCTTGGACAGTAGCTGGATAGTTGCAGTGCGCATGCACGTTACAGTTGTGCTGGGGAAGACTTCCCAAGATCGTTTGAAGAAATCAGTGCAGTTTTTCCTTTTTTTGCTCTCTCTTTCTCAAAAATCGCAATTCGAACAACATTTGGACTAATGACTAGTTAGTCAAATGAGGATTTGAACAGCCCGGTTACGGGTACATGGCAAATGACGTCACCACCAGTCTTTTTGGTGTTAAACAAGCTAAACAATAAAAAAAGGTGATGAACAGGAAATTAAATATCAAAACACAAAAAAACACAAAAAAACATGGCATCCTGATTTAACACGTGGGCGATAATTACCAGTTATCTCATGTTCTGTGTGATTGGATGGAGAACAAAGTACGGTTTTGCGACCTTCGACGATCGATTTGATTTGTTTGTATTTTACGTCCTATAGACAGCTATGGTCATTTTACGTCCTATAGACAGCTATGGTCATTTTACGTCCTATAGACAGCTATGGTCATTTAAGGACGTGCCAGGTTTTGGTGGTGGAGGAAAGTTGGAGTTCCCAGAAAAAAACCCACCGACCTGGCGACTGCCCCACGTAGGTCTCGAACCCGCGACCCAGTGGTGGTGGAGGGCTAATGGTAGCAGAATGTTAGACGCCTTTTTTTCTTTAATGTCAGACGCATTTACCACTTGGACACCGTGGCCCCCTTTTTACCGATTTGAATACAACGAAAGGTCGCTTTGACTTTTTGAGAACGTGTATTAAATTAAAGAAGGCACAGAGTGTTGCCGACACACTTGCTGTGATTGTTTTCCCTTTGAAAGTATGTAGAGTAACACGACAAAACAAATGGTAGGTTTGGTTCTAGTAGGAAACAACCGCAAGTGAACAAAAGCGTAAACGATAATAGCCAAGCTGTCACGCTAAGTCGCCTTTTTCGCATATAGTGATAATGAATGTTCGACGGAGTTTCAGAAACACATCTCATTTTTAAATTCTTGCCGTGTTGTTCACAACATACTCAAATAAATCCGAGAAA